GCCGCCAGGAGCTCGATCCCAGTTTACCCCAGACAATGGAGCGCATATCCCGGTGAAGGTCTCATCTCAATGACCCGGGCTAAAGCTAGAAAATCACGCAATGAGACCACTTTTAGGGAGCAACATGTTTTTCTCCCGGCGCGGATCGTCCCGTTCACACCCGGACCCACACCCAGCCCGGGCTGTGGCTCACTGATGTGGCTGACATGATCCCGGTGAACTCTTAGCCCCGGGCATTGTGGCGCTAAAGCCGATCATTCCCAATCTTCACATTGCAGCTTCCGACGCAATTGCATACTGCATAATTGCTGATAAAAGAATAAATCAATCTTATTATCTTATCTTATTATCATAGTACTATAGTACTTATCATTTAGCCTCGTTTTTGCCATAAGGTGACTTCAGTCACTAAAATTGTATAATCTTTACAAATATATATTTCAGTTTTGCATCTGTCTCCAAGGTAGAATTCCTAGTGGCCAAAATAGAATTTCTGGAACAGAAAATTGAGTGGCAAAATATAACTATTCATAATCTTGCGGATGAGTGAAATTTTCTACGAAATCAAGTTGTAGAAAGAAAAAAATACCTGGTAAATCATTTTGTAACATAATAAATCTACTGTAATTGCTTTAAATGTATAAAAAGATTAAAAACATCCCCAACTTTTTTTGTAGCTAAGGCAAAGGGAATCACCTTTGAAGATGATGATGATGTCTCCTCTCCAAATATAAGTGTCTTGGACAGCAACATAATGACTCAACCCAGAGGAAAAAAAAACAAAAAAAAAACTTTGATCATTTCCAGATTTAAAACATCGAAAGTTTTATTACACTGTAGCCAAATACATAACTTGCACATTTAAAGCAGCACTGCTGCAAGATGGGCCTAATTGGGTTGGGGATCTGTAAATTAATTGAAGTAATCAGTGTATAGTTTTGAGAATAAAGAACTGCGTTAGTAAAATTGAGTGTCTGACTCACTGTAGCAAAACTGAAGTAAATGTGCAGTGTAAAAACTTATGGAAGCCACTGTATACATCATTTTAGTTGAATGACGTCAGCAATCAAAGAAAGTGTCTTCAGTATTTTAACATCTGTGTTTTGTTTTGTTTTCCCAATGAAGGGGCCAGATGAGGCAATAAACAGATATCAGAGGGTCCTGAAGATCTTCAAAAGGGTCCGCACGATGACAGAGGCTTTCTGACTGAGCCAAGTTGATCGGGGCACCTTCAAAATGACTGCGCCTATCGTGGAACTTAGTAATGTCGACCCAGAGACTTTTAATAGCCTTAAACTTGACAATGCAAATGAGACCTTGATGTCATTTGCCAAAAGTTGTGTGTCCAATATGACACAAGAAAAAAGGCTATGATTGAAGACCTTAAGTCAAAAGGAAAGCTACTTTCTTTGCTGATTAAATTTTAAGCTCATTATAAGTGCCTGTTAACAAAATAGTTGAGTTTCTGTACAAAAGTTGTTTTTTTTTTGTAAAGAATGTCATTTGGCAATTTGCCTTAAACATACTGAGAGTCAGAATATTGAAGCTCGTTAAAGCAGTTATGTAACTTTGATTGTACTGTAAAGTGTCCAGTGTTTAAAACTGTTCACATACATTGAGTGCTACATATTGCATGTTTATGCTTTTATTAAAGTATAATTTATTTCAGTTAAAGCATTTATTTTATTTACGGCTAATATAATATGCTTATTTGAATATATTTAACACATTTGATAGAGGTAAAGGTGACCTAGACTAGAATATACTTGAAAACAATGTAATTGTTCATATTTATTTTATTTATAACTACGTATTCATGTATGAACTATGAATATGCATGTCACAATACATGAATTAAGTATGAAGAGGAAAGCACTTTTGAATACGGACTATATTCATTTCAATTTATGTCAAACTAATCATTTATTAACTACAATCAAAACATCACTTTAGAACATATTCAGAGAATAGAACATTTTCAAGAATTCCAGATCAGCCTTCCATTTATTGTCAGATTTCAGAACACCCCTTGAGGATGCTTTCTGATCAGCTCCATCTTGTTCTTCATCTTCTGGAGTCACGCTTTTTCATCAGCTTCATCATATCACAGGGATCAGCTCTTGTTCTTCATCTTCTGGAACACCGGTTCTTCTGGTCAGCTTCATCAAATCACTTCATCTGCTCTTGTTCATCGCTAAAGACATTCTTTTGGTCAGCGTTCACATCATCTGATTAGACCGCTGCTCCGTGTTCTGCATGTGCTTAGGAGCAGCGCTGATGTGTTCGTCTTGGGACCGTAGCCTTTATTTGTAGTTTTGCTGACGTTGTTGAGGCGGGTTTGAGCGGTGTGTTACGTTGTGTTGTTGGGGCTCAATTGTGCTGCTGCGTAAACTTTGCATTGGCTGTGCGTTGTTTCATTCAATAGTGACCAAATCTTCTGGATACAGGTTTCTTCTCTTCAGCTTCATTACTTCACTTCTGATCAGCTCCAGCTCTCTTCTTCATCTTTTGGAGACAGGGTTCCTCTTGTCAGCTTCATCACATCACTTCTGATCAGCTCCATCTGTCGTTCGTCATCTTCTGGAGACAGGGTTCTTCTCATCAGCTTCATCAGATCTCAGGACCACAGGGCTCAGCTGGCCCCTCCAAACCAGTCACCATGGGAACAGACACAGACACAGTGTTAAGGCATGTGCACGTTCAAAATAAGATACTATGGAATTTTTATTTCTTACCTCATGTTTGTTTATCATTATTAGAGTCAAATGAATTTAAGTTAATCTCCCATTCTTCATCTTCTGGAGACCGGTTTCTTCTCTTCAGCTTCATCACTTCACTTCTGATCAGCTCCATCTCTCGTTCTTCATCTTTTGGAGACAGAGTTCCTCTTGTCAGCTTCATCAGATCTCAGGACCACAAGGCTCAGCTGGCCCCTCCAAACCAGTCACCATGGGAACAGACACAGACAGAACAGTGTTAAGGCATGTGCATGTTCAAAATAAGATACTATGGAATTTTTATTTCTTACCTCATGTTTGTTTATCATTTTAGAGTCAAATTAATTTAAGTTAATCTCCCATTCTTCATCTTCTGGAGACAGGGTTCCTCTTGTCAGCTTCATCACATCACTTCTGATCATCTCCATCTGGCGTTCGTCATCTTCTGGAGACATCACAGTTTCACTTCTGATCAGCTCCATCTCTCGTTCTTCATCTTTTGGAGACAGAGTTCCTCTTGTCAGCTTCATCAGATCTCAGGACCACAGGGCTCAGCTGGCCCCTCCAAACCAGTCACCATGGGAACAGACACAGAAACAGTGTTAAGGCATGTGCATGTTCAAAATAAGATACTATGGAATTTTTATTTCTTACCTCATGTTTGTTTATCATTTTAGAGTCAAATTAATTTAAGTTAATCTCCATTCTTCATCTTCTGGAGACAGGTTCTCTCTGTCAGTTTCATCACATCACTTCTGATCATCTCCATCTGGCGTTCGTCATCTTTTGGAGACAGGGGTCTTTGTGTCAGCTTCATCAGACCTCAGGACCACAGGGCTCAGCTGGCCCCTCCAAACCAGTCACCATGGGAACAGACACAGAAACAGAAACAGTGTTAAGGCATGTGCATGTTCATAATAAGATACTATGGGATTTTTATTTCTTACCTCATGTTTGTTTATCATTTTAGAGTCAAATGAATTTAATAAGTTAAGATGACTTAGAATAAAACACTGAAACCTAACATAACATAATTTAACATAATAAACATAACATAATTTCTCAAAGAAAACAACACAAAGAGGAGAAGCAGGAAATGTTCCACCAAGTGAACAAGCCCAGCTCTGGATACAATCATTCAAACCAACCAAAGTCACTATTTCTTAACAGTATTCACACAGCCTGTTTACAAAGGCTTAGAATTAATTAAGAACATATTTCATATTTTTTAGTTTTTTTTCATTATTTCATTTTTTTTTTTTTTTACCCTTACATAAGACTATTAAAAAAAAAAAAAAAAGAGTATTACGTATTAGTTATTAGCACAAGATTTGCAGCCACACTGCCTTCAAGCTCCATGTACGGTCTGATATTGTGTCTGGGTTACTACCTGCTAAGCTTTGTTTGGGCAGCATTATGATGGCTATTACTTTTACTACTCTTTTTTTTTTTTTTTTTTATCACAGAGTTAGTCCTTAGTAGCTGTACTGCCAAGTACTATGGGACACACTCTAAAAGCACAAGTTTAAAGTAAATGCAAGGAGTACTATGCAGGAATGTCTGTCAAACTGTAATACTCTGATTAAATGTAGTGTGTCAATTAGAACCCACTTTTTCAGTACAATCTAATCTGGGGCCCAATCACATATTTCATATATTGTAATTAAAATAGTTAATCACTCAATTAAAATATAGACAAAACTTTACATGTTATTATCAAACTTTCTTAAGTTTTTATGAAATCCTATATAATAATCCTTGCTTTTTTCTTACTTAAAACTATAACACTCACAGCTTCACTTCTAACCATCCTATGCCCAAAAAAATGTCTAAGGTGTACTATGCAGGAATTTCTGTCAAAACTGTAATTCTCAAATGAAATGTATCATGAATTAGAGTTTTGTCAGTGAAAATTATTATTATTATTATTTATTTGTTTGTTGAAATCCTACATAGTATTCCTTTATTTTATAAATTTTTTTTTTTGTATTTTTTGTTTCACACAAACACAAAGCTACTACTACTACAATACTATAAAACACACTCTCACCTCTGACCCTCCTATGCCCAGAAAGTCTAAGGTGTACTATGCAGGAATATCTGTAAATCTGCAGTACTCAGATTCAAATTCAGAATAGAAATTACAGTTAACTCAACAAGAAAAACGTTATGTTTTATCATCATCTTTGTTGTTTTATGAAATCCTACATAGTATTCCTTAACTTCAATCTATTCTTTTTTAAATCAATCAATAAAGAAATCAATTAAAAAATCAGTGGGGTGATGGGCGGGGTTGAAGGTGGTAAAGTCGCCGCATTGAGCCAAGCTCTGAGTCTCAGAGGCTGAGTTCAGTCCAAGTCCGAGTCTTGGTGCAGGTGGAGCTGCTGGTGGAAATGGCACCTGAAGCCTCCAGACGTCCCAGAGGAGGTGGAGGGACCTGGGTCAGATGTAGAGGGGTCTGGGTTGGAGGAGGAGAGGCACGGCCGCTTGGAGCTGGGGCCTCCCTTGTCTTCATCATCATCCCTGGCGCGCTTGCCTCCGCTGAGGGGAATGAAGTCCAGAGCGGCGGAGAGGAGTTCTCTGGTGGCCAGGGAAGGTCTCTGTGCTCGCTCCTGAGGAGAGGGGGTCGGAGCGCGACCCTCGGGCTCCACAGGTTGAACAGTAAAGCCTTCCCACCTGCCACCATTCAACACATGTTCTCCAACCCTGTAGTGCTGCCATCCATCAAGCGGAATGAAGTCCGGCGCAGGACCCATAGGGAGAGGGCGGGAAGCAGAAGCGCGAGCAGTGGAGAGGAGAGCGCTGATGGCCAGGGAAAGTCTCTGTTCTTGCTGCTGAGGAGCCATCTCTTCTTCCCTCTCTTCCTCTTCTTCATCTTCGGTCTCTTCTACCCTGTCTTCTTCTTCTTCTTTCTCTTCGTCCTCTTCCTCCTCAGAGAGACTCTCGTAGCCAGAATCAGTTGACGTAAAACTTGACTCCCAGCTCTCTTCATCAGATGACCCAGAGTCGCTGCTCTCGCTCTCTTCATCAGATGACCCAAACTGAGGTCTCAGATTACCTACCCCATACTCACCTTGGTCGTCCTCGTCCGAAGAGTAGTCTGGAAGCTCCACCACCTGACGATCCAGAAGGACTGGAGGAGCCACAGCCTCTGCAACAGGTTTGACAATGTTAAACACCCTTTAAATTGTAACATGAGCAAGTCAGACTAGTACCAAAGGCTGTAATGACTTATACCACTACTACTACTACTAATACTACTACTACTACTACTCCCAGTTATTTAAGTGTCATATTGAAGAGGCCTACTGTGTTTATCTGGAGGAGCCAGAGTTTGCAAGGCCGATTTGTTATTTTGATGTTTGTGTCTTAATTAACTGTAGGTCTATGATCAGTACAGTTGGCCTATTTTACTGGTACAATCTCTTATTTTACTGGTGCTTAAGTAATAACTTGTGGTGTGTTCCAAATACTGCATTGTGCAATTCAGACCAGCTGAATACATTTGTTTGGGTATGGCGTTATCATTACAGTGCTGCGATGCATGGTAAGGAAATAAAAACATGCAATCCAAATCGAAATGAATGATACTATAAAGATATACAACAGACAAAAACTAACACAACACTGTCAGCAGAGTAAAGCTATAAGGCTACAAAACTGCACAATAAGTGGCTCTGACTGTAGTTATGAACAGTGCAGCAGATGGACTAGAATAAACAGCAGGTAAAGTGTCTTGACTATACTATATTCTTTGTACAATAAGTAGCTATAACTGTGTATTATCTACAGTGCTGTATACGGACAAATTAAATCAAGAGACTTGTGAATTGTACCAGCAAAGTTTCACATTAAGTTAGAGTATTGCACGTGTTTAGGCCTACAGGTGGATGACACATAAAGACCTACAGGGCAAAGAACATTTTTATTGTGAATTTTTACTTATACGTGAGTAGACAACTGTGCATTTTAGAATTCATATTTATAAATGTAGTTATGGATTATTAGTAGGACAGTTTAATTAAGCATTCCTCCTTTCCTCCTTTGCTCTGCTTCACCGTGCACCTGACAGCCAAACACCAGCATTCTATAGAGCTCAAATGTGCATCTTTTAAACATTTAGAATGGCTGGATTACTATGGAGATCAAATGTGCATCTTTTAAACATTCCAATTTAGAATGGAGGCTGGGCGCCATTTTTTCCCCCCAAAATGCCACAAAACCCTGATGAATATTGACGCTCAGAAAATAAAACACAAATCATTTCCTATAAATGTGACAATAACTTTTCACTACACACTCGTGTTGATCTTTTTAAAGCAGTTTCACCAACTATGTATCATGATCCAAAATGAAATCGTCGAGCGAAAGTCACAAATTATCAAATGTTTTTCAAATGTTCATAAACCTGCTTTTAAGGAGCTAAACTTTACACCCACAGAAACTGTCACAGGTGGACAAAACTGTTCTTGTCGTTAAATAGTTGGACTATCTTATTAATATTTGTCATAATTTGTCATGGTTCCATGTTATTTGATTAATTTTACCTTCGGGGACGTGATCCTGGCGGTCAGGGTCCAGAGCGAAGCGCACCAGGTCCATGGCGAAGGCCAGTCACCTTTTGGTGTGTTTTCAATCCTCCAGAAAGTGTTGACAGGCAGATATACCAAGTTGTGATGGTGTTTTACAACCGGTGAGGGGCTAAGAAACGATGAATATCAAAATCTCGTACAAGTGTCCGCAGTGCGTCCAAGAAGCGTTCTCATGTGAGAAAGGGGAGTGCAACTGAGTGCGCAGCCGCTTATATAGTGCGCGCGACGTTGTCGCTATGGCACCGACGCACCGACCGACGCCAGACCAGGCCATTGTACAGCTCCTGGGCTTAAAGCTCATTTGAAATTACAAAATAACCATATTATATCATTTTACATGCGGACTAAAGCTGCATTGCTTTTATTATTATTTTATTTTAGAGGTGTTATTTTTTTTTTTATTACATGACGTGACCGTGAGGCTGCGTGACCGCGACCACGTGACCAGAAGCCCGCTACTGAGCAGTCGAAAGTGTCAGGTATGAAAACAAACTCTTGGTCGAAAAGAATAACCTAATAACAGAAGAACTAAACCAGGTCTAAACCAGAATTAACCAGGTCTAAACCAGAACTAAACCAGGTCTATACCAGGACTAAACCAGGTCTATACCAGGACTAAACCAGGTCTAAGCCACGTCTAAACCAGGTCTAAACTAGAACTACGCCAGGTCTAAACCAGAACTAAACCAGGTCTAAACTAAGACTAAACAGGTTTAGTGGTTTACTCCTTTTTATAACGAAATACAATTCATATTATGCAGAATTGAGTAAAGCATTTTGGCTCGACCTTCCACAATATTTTCTGTTTTTCATGTGGCCCCATGGAAAAACAGAGTTGCCCAGCCCTGATGTCAGCTGTAGCTTTTCTGTGTTCTGTTCATCCTACATCGTACGTAGGCACATCACATTATTATTAAACAACTTGAACTGTATAGCAAAGAAAGCTCTATCTTTCTTTCGGCTAGATGTAGGCCTAAGCCTTTTACAAGCATCCTTTACATAGGCCTACATGTTACTCATGCGTAGTTTTTACAGTGTAACAATGGTTCAAATGGATAAGTGCCCAACCATATAAAATGTCCTTAAAAGACTACAAAAGACAAGACAAGATTTAAAACGGCAATTTACTATACTATCTATAACATTTAAAGTTGAACTGTGAACGTTTCAAAGTCAAACTGAAATAAAGAACTTTTTTCTAACATAAATGCACCAGCAAAAGTGTGAAATAGGTGTGCAAGAACAGAATATGCTCAAAATATAAGAGAATATGCTAAAATAAATGTTTAACTATGTGTAGATACTAGGGATGGGCATTCGATGAAATTTTCTTAATCGATCGTCGGAAGAATTAACGATCGATTATCGATTAATCATTAACGTGTTTATATTAAAATGATCATCATTATTATTACTATCTGCACTACTTATCTGCATAAATAATACTTTTCAACAAAAAGGTGAGTGTGACTAACTGAAAAACAGCACAGATCAGCTCTCCTGTTGTAGTTCCAGCTAAATTAGTTCTTTGTGGTCAGATTGTGTTAGAACAAAACTCAGATTAAAGTCTAACTTGAGTAATAGAGCTTCAGACACAGCAGTGCCTACAGTTAGACTATGTTTACACAACAATGTCTCTGAACTGAACTGAATATTTGCTGTAATTATATTTGCTGATTGTGAAATAAACTTCATTTGTGACCAGTGGTCCTTCCTTTCACAAAAAAAATAAAAATAAAATAAAAAATCAGGTTGGACCGATTGGTTCTGGCTTGAGACACAATACGTCAATACGAGATACGTCACACTCAGGTCACAAACCAGGAAGACATTTGGAAACATGCGACGACAACTACCCACTGAAGTATGATAAAACCATGGATTCAGAAACCTTTAGCAGCGGTCTTTATAACCTGCCAAAGCTTTCCATGGGGGACAGGACTTTGATCATATCTTCGATGTCACTTACAGACAGCTCAAAACTAGTGAAAGGCTACAAGTTCTTTGTAGAAAAGTCCTTCTTTGGCTACCAAGTAATATTTGCCGGCAAATTAAGATGAATGCTTTATAAATTATTAGGGATGTAACAGTAACCAAAATATCGTGATATCGTATCATCAAAGGTCTCAATAATATCGTGGACTATCACAATATATCGAATTACAAGTCTCTTTGCTTAAATTAATAGTGATGTTACGAGATGTGCCGAGGAATGAAGGGGGTATTTCCGCAATGCGCGTATCGAGGCTTGCTTCATTTAGGGGAGGAGCTGAAAATGATGACGTCCGAAGCCTCGCTGCCCGGCTGTACCACATGACTGATTCAGGAAGTGGTTCGGATTTTGCTGCGATTTCCATTTTCATCATTTCCAAATAATCATTTTCCATACTGCCACTATATAGATACACAGTACACTGCCATCACTACAATAAACATGTTTTGCGTACTTCTTTATTGTGCTGACAGTTTTATTCACAGGCTTTCTGCAATGTCCCACACACTTCAAATTCATGTCAACTGATATTTTTGTGTCCAGTAGATGTCCTGCTAGAGCAAATGAAGCTTCAAGAAGCTTCGCGCTGGAGTGAACCAATTGGATGTAAGGCTTCAATGCTTCATGAAGCTTCATCTGCCCATCTGGGCGGCAGTAGCTCAGTTGGTAGAGCATTCGCCCACTGATCTGAAGGTTGGTGGTTCGAATCCAGCTCTCGACATAAACATCTCAGGTTGAGCGGTCAGATCCACTGACCCACAGGTTGGCTGGTGTGATTCCAGCTCCCACAGATGAATGCTGTCGTTGTGTCCTTGGGCAAGACACTTAACCCACCTTGCCCACAGTGTCTGTGTGAAGTGGTTCCTTGTTGTAAAGCGCTTTGAGTGCCTTGAAGGTGGAAAAAATGTGACCATTTACCATTTCTACTTATTAAAGTCTCTGAGCCACAGGAGTCAGTGCAGAGACCTGAGCACAGGACGCATGTTAAAAATAAAAGAAATGCAGCTTTAGTCCATGCATGAAGTAAAATGATAAAATATGTTTATTTTGTAATTCCAAATTCATTCATTTTATTTATTTATTTGTTTGAGCCAGGTACAACAAAATTCAAAAACAGTAACCAAAATAGTGATATGTACATGAATATATTTGGGATCTGGTGATCAAAAGGAGCAGGATGAAGTTTAAAAAAAAAAAAAAAAAAAAAAAAAAAAAAAAACACTTTTAGAGTCCTACCCCAATTGCTTTACATAATCACGTGGTTCACCCTTTTTTTTTTTTTTTATATATATCACCTTTGGAGTGTTTACCTGTCATTATGCAGAAATATTCACACACATAGACAAAAACATATCCACATATACATACATACATACATACATACATACATGTACACACATACATACATACATACATACACACATACATACATACATACATACATACATACATACATACATACATACATACATACATACATGTACACATACATACATACACATACATACATACATACACATACATACATGTACACACATACATACATACATACATACATACATACATGTACACACATACATACATACATACATACATACATGTACACATACATACATACATACATACATACATACATACATACATACATACATACATACATACATACATACATACATACACATACATACATACATACATACACACATACATACATACATGTACACACATACATACATACATACATACATACATGTACACACATACATACATACATACATACATACATACATGCACATACACATACATACATACATACATACATACATGTACACACATACATCACATACATACATACATGTACACACATACATACATACATACATACATGTACATACATACATACATACACATACATACATACATACATACATACATACATGTACATACATGTACACACATACATACATACATACACACATACATACATACATACATACATGTACACACATACATACACATACATACATACATACATGTACACACATACATACATACATACACATACATACATACATGTACACACATACATCACATACATACATACATGTACACACATACATACATACATACATACACATACATACATACATACATACATACATACATACATACACACACATACATACATACATACATACAGACACACATACATACATACGTACATAGATGTACGCGTCATAGATATCCAGTACATATACTCAATATAAAGGGTCGTACATACTAATAATAATGTTATCGTAGGCACAAAGTTTATCGTTTCTGAAACGCACCTTTCTGTGTGAGGACCGCACTGACCAATCACAGCAGAGACGTGAGTCACCTGGCCCCGCCCCCTCAGGTGTGCTCCTGCGCGCACCAGAATCGACGCGACAGTCTCTCCGCGCGTCTCTCCCGTCTTGTGTCACGATGGTCTGCGGCTACAACTGCACCAAGCACAGCCTCAGCGCGCTCAACGTGCTCTACGTGGTGAGTACAGACGGGTTTTTTAAAGATTTGCAGGAGAAAAAGTGCGGGTTTAGAAGAGTTTAGGACAGTTTAGGAGAGTTTAGTTTGGGTGAAGTGACGCTGCAGCTGCTGCTGTTTTACGCAGGTCAGGTGTCTGATTAGAAGCGACTGTTGACTCGCTCCGTCTCCTCGTTGAACGGGGTCATGGATTTTAGAGGCTCAAAGAAAAGAAAAGAGTGTATATTTTAATAAACGCAGTCTACGTGAAGCTGGTTTCGCCCGTGCGCCGTTCGATCAGAGAGGTTAAATAAACACACGAGTTAAGAGGAGGAGGAGGAGAGTGAGCAGGAAACTCAACTGGTTTAAATATGAGGAAAACAAAACAAAGTATTGTGCAAAGTAACCACAGGTGTTAGAATAGACAAAACCTGTACTCAAATTAGAGTAATGTTACTTCAAAATAATATCACTCAAGTAGAAGTACAAAGAAGTGGTCCAAGAAATTTGGATCACCAAGAGAAGTAAGAGTAACTGAAAAAGTAACATCTGATTTATAATTGTAAAAGTTAGACAACAACATAAAATAACACACAAAGTCTGGTCAAAGCACAGACACAAACATGAGATGAACTAAATGATATTTGAAGGAGCGCTGCACAAACACAAATG